GCTAAAAGCCCATTTACCACCGCCAGAGGTGTTCCGTTTCGCTAAGCCACGATGTGGAGTAACACGAAAAGAATGTTTGTTTACGCATTGACACACTTTGGTCGTATTCAACGTACACTTTACGTCACTTATTATCAAATTAACAACATCGTAATCCCTATAATTAAACTCCTTATTTACAGCAACCTTTAGTAATTACTAATAAAAGAAAACAATTAGATTTGATTGTTGAAATCGCGATATTAAATAATATTGTGTAACTAAAAATTATTGCAATACGTCGAAAATATAGAAGAATTTTCTTCGGGGCAAATATAAAACCTTGATATCAATACTAGATGCCATTATGTAAATTTTTGCATTTGCAAATCCCGTTTATGCAAATCAAATCGTTGATAAAAACGTTTTAGTTGAAGTGACTGATAGTCACGGCTACTGCGATCATCGTATTCACTTTTACCTAGAAGAACAAATTGAACGATTAAATTGAATTAAACGTGTGTTTACAACTTCATTAAAATACTAATATTTATTAAGATAGTCGATTATCTAGGATGTCTTTATAGTTACGTTTTGAATTTTTATCCAGTTTTATGTCCTAAGTGGTTTCTTAAGTTGTCTTACTTAATTTATACATCTCGTAGATGCTTAATTTCAAAAAACCCGAATGTGATATAATGGGTGGCAAAAACGCACCGGTACGGCTCTGCTTCTGCAGAAAGAAATGGGTTGGGTTGGGTTTGGTTTAGTTCTCGTAGTCAATTTTTGTTATACACCGATAGAAAGACCAGCAAATTTTGCTTTTTGTATCAATTATCAGAAATGATATGGAACGAAGATATCAGACCACACTGCTGAATACAGAACATAGTAAAATGGGAGAGACAGAAACGAAGATTCTGGAAGAAACATATAAAAAGAATGGGTGCAACAATGAATAACCCAGTAGGAAACAGATCACAGGAAAGACCACCAAAACGATGGACCTCATCGACACGTGTTAGTAATAAACAGGCAGTAGCCTACACCATATGGATATCTATGTTAGAAAGAAGAGGAAGAAGATGAAGATGCAATTATGTTATCAATCATTGCTTGAATATTTCTTTGTTTCTGTTCGTAAAGCAGTCGAAGCAGTTCGTAAACAGCTCTCAAATCGCCGAGGTCGCTTGCGGGCGAGGCGCTAGATTTGATATATCAACACAAAATCGTTAGCTTTGGAAGATTCTAGCGCCTCGCCCGCAAGCGACCTCGGCGATTTGAGAGTAAATGTTTTTTTATAGGAGACTTTGTATATTTACCAAGATATATGAGGAACTATTTAGCCTCAAATCGCCGAGGTCGCTTGCGGGCGAGGTTTAGGCTAGATTTGATATATCAACACAAAATCGTAAGCTTTGGAAGATTCGACCTCCGCGATTTGAGGCTAAATAGTTCCTTATATATAATTGGTAAATATTCAAAGTCTCTTGACGATTTGAGGGTAAATTTTTTTATAAGAAATTTTGTATCTTTACCAAGATATATAAGGAACAAATTCGCTTCAAATCGTCGAGGTCGCTTGCGGGCGAGGCGCTAGATTTGATATATCACCACAAGATTGTAGCGCCTCGCTCGTAAACGACCTCGGTGGTTTGGAACTATTTAAGCTCAAAGCGGCGAGGACCCATGCAGACAATAATAATGAATAATATCAATATTTATTATTATTACTAGAACTTTTATAAACAAAAATCTTGCTTGAAGCCATAATATTCATGATTTACAAAATTTTTGATTCGAAATATCACTCTCAAGTTACAAATGTCATATTTAACATTACAATGTTATAATTAAAGTTTATAAATGTCATTTTAATATTGATATAAAAATGTTTGTTGTTTATAGTCATTTCAAGTAAATATCTCTGGTATTTACACATTCATGTTATATAGAAACTAACAAATTGAATGACCACGAAAAGTCATGTAAGTACTTATATTCAAGAATAATAATTTATTGATTGGTGTTCATGCACCTGTAGCGTTGTTAAATACCAAGTAACTTTTTATAAAACTCAATGATATGTGTATGTAATTCGTTTGTAATTTTTTCGCCGAGATTATGATGTCCGTAAAAGGTAACCAATATCCGCAATATTCATTGTATGTTAATAACAGGACCATTTATCTCGTAATCAATGCCACATTTTAAACTCATTAACGCAAGCGTTTAATTATCGGTGTTGCAACAACCACGACGACCGTTAGTTGCAAAGCGTCCGCCTCGTGTCAACACAATTACTTATCGTCCGAGTTATGACCTTTATTAAAGGTATTTATGGATCACGTTGAATTCGAGAGGATCGTTTTGCGCTTATACGAACGAACTTCATTAAAGTGGCCATTATGTGCCATCGGGGCGCACAAAAGATAGCCAATAAATGTGACGAAAGCCGCCACAAAGACCTGTTCTATCGGAAATTATTTGTACGCGTTTAATTGGTTTATATTTTAACGAGGTACGATTCGGTTTCGCGGTCCACTGAACCGACGATTTACTGCGAAAATACGATAGGGGTGTGCGTGGGAGTTTATTGCGGTGAGTAAAGTGTACGCCGTAACGTTATCGGTTAACGATAAATTTGTTCTCTTCTTGTCATATAATTTACAAAAAGATTTTTTTTGTTATATATAAAATCAAAAATTTTAAATGTTAATTAAATAGTTAATATGTTAATGCGGGGTCAATCGGATCACTTTCTCCGCAAGAGATCCACCTGCTATGGTATCTGGAGCACCGAAAGCAGATCTCCATGTTCCTCCTCCTTCTGCGGTCGGATGCCTTTGCATCGTTCCGTTATATTCGGCCCGAGGCATTCCACCAACTCCAACAACTATCACGAGCGTGACATTTCAGAAGCGCACAGTGCGGTCCCATGACGCAACAACGAAGCCAGCCGCCGCCGCCACAATTTCTCTCTCCTTTCGCTCTTTTTCCACCTTTCCGTGATATTTTAATTCGCAACGGACCGTTGATAATTTAGTTTGGTGTGCGAGAATTCGATTATGCAATCGATCAACATCGATACCACACGCGCCGGTCACGCTAAAAATCGTCTCAAACGGGGGTGGTTAAATTTTTTGTCTGCTCCTTTCCTTTTCCTTTTCTTCTCTTTTCTTCATTTTGTTGTAGGCACCTCGAAAGTGAAGGGGATGTGTTAAATGTTAAGGCTCCGGGTTTTCTGCCGTGTCACGAATCCGTCGTCGTCGTGTTTCAGTCCAGTCGATGATTGACAAAATATCGGTGCGTGAAAGCTGCATGGATCGCAAAACGTTAAGCTAAATTGTTTCGGTTTTATTAATAACCCAAAGAACATTTCACGATTTTGAATAATATCTGATTGGGAAGGTGTTAAAATGTTGATGAAATGATTTAATTAAATTGAGAAGTCGATTATTGTTATTTATTTGTTGCAATATCATAACCACACCTATAAGTACAATAATGGTATTATTTATTTATCTATTTATTTATTTATCTCAAGTGGGTACAGAAACATTTCGAACCCAATAACACTGTACCACAAACAACCAGTTGTATACAAGTTAAATTACAGTTCAGAATAATAATCATGAATTAATAATAATCGTACAAAAGTGAATTGAAAGGAGAAAAATAAAACTAAGTCTAGGTGATATAAATATCACATATCAAATGAATGCCGAAGGCAAAACACACCAACTGCAGCAAAGAGCAACTTTTAAATGCATAGAAAGAATGCTAAAACAGATCTATGTTAACACTATTTGCAGACACTTTGCAATTTCTTACCAGCGACGCTATAATTATAGTGATGTGTAGAGAAGGAAATATTACACTTTGATAAGTTTAATGAAAGGCGATTATTTAAGCAAAAAGCATGAAGATTATCTAAATCTGATTGCAATCTAGAAAAATCAAGAGGTGACATACGGAGAAAGAGTTTTAAATCGTCAGCATGCATTAAACATTGGGCATAATTAACAACGTCAAATATGTCATTATCATAAATATTAAATAGTAAAGGGCCTGGATGGCTACTCTGGAGAATACCAGAAGGAACCGACACAGGATAAGAGAAAAAACCATTAACCGAAACAATCTTGGATCTCTCCTTAAGATAGGAAGGAAACCATTGCAAAAGTTTCTCCTGAATATCAAACTTCATTAGTTTAAACAAAAGATCCATCCAATCGAAAGCTTTACTAAAATTCGAATAAACTGAATCAACATGACAAGAATCATCCAAAGAAGATAAGATGTACTGGACATTTTCAAGCAAGTTATCCTCAACCGAGCGACCAGAACAAAATCATGTTGTCTACAATTGATTTTAGACTTAAGGACAAAGAATAGATGTACTTGAACCACTTTCCCAAATGCTGGCAAAATAGATATGGGGCGGTAATCAGAAATAACTCTACGGTCCCCAGATTTAAAAATGAGAAGAATAAAAGCCCGCTTCCACAATAAAAGAAAATTACAGGACATCCATTACTAATGAAGCGTTAAATAAAATAGTTAAAGGAAGGGAAAGAGTGTGAACATTCCTTGATTAAAATTGATGCAATACCATTAATATCAATACTGTTAGTAACCCTGATGCCCATCAGAGCCTCCTCAACCTCAATCCTATCAAACTGCATCTGACTCAAAGGAAGGGCATCCGTTTCAACACAATCCACATTCTGCTGGATTTGAGAAGAATTAACAAAAACCAAAGAAAAGAAATCAGCGAAAAATGAGCATACTCCGCACGCTTCTTAGATTTAGCTCTTTCAGCTCTTCTAACAACATTATAATAACATTATTGGGTATCTTAATTGTAAAGAACCACGTGTTTAAGGTTGTGTTAAAAAATTGAAATGAATTGAATTTGAAATTGTTTATTTTAATTTAACCAAAATAGAACACAGAAATAACTTATTTTTGTATTTAAATAAGTCTGGATATCACGGTGGTGCTATACAAACAGCAACTCCGATGTGGTCTAGTGGCAGGATATCTGGCTCTCACCCAGGAGGCCCGGGTTCAATTCCCGGCATCGGAAGCTTTAATTTTTGAATTTTTTTTTATATCCTTAAAATAAAGATGACATATTAATCTAAAACTAAATTTTCTCATTCTTATTTAAGTCCTTAACATCTTATGATTACCTTAAAGATTTAAAATGAGAATCAAAATTTCAATATTTAAACAACCCCTTATTTATTACAACGGTGTATTCATAATTTACGACCGATAATCTTGATTACAATTACAAAATATGAGCAACATTTATAACGTCCGCCTACGTAGTCGAGATCGACTATACACTGCGCCATTTTCATGTAAAGGACGTAAAAAATGACGAAGACAATATAAGTTACTGGTTGCGTCCCAATACAATTTATCTTAGCCAATTATAAGTATTTCTAGTGGTAACGTTTCTTATTGTATATTTGCAACAGTGAATGTCTTTAAGATATATTTAAGGGTAAAATTGTAAGATAATGTAACTACACAATAATCGTGAGTTTAACTTTGAATTTATATACCAATAATGGTTTAGATTGTTTAGAAAGGTTCACACCTAAGTGGTATTTCTCCAAGAACTTGAGATTTTTTTTATTGCTTTCCCAATAGAAAGTACTAATTTACGTTCGATGTGGAGCAACATACTAACTCTGTAGCTAATTGCGTGGCTATATCTTCCTTGCGGTTGGGTTGCATTGTCAGGATCACCAGCGTATATTCACATAGATAAGTACATACGGTGTACTTTCCATTTTATCTAATCTTCGAACCGGGCTAACGCCGTTCATTGGTCGACCAACTCGGTCGTTTCGTTGCGTTCGCCGTCGTTCGCATTAACTGCCTCCTCGACTATCGGACTATCGGTCACCTTAACGATTGTACCGGAGTTATTATTGTCGTGAAATATCAAATTCTTATACGAATACTATCTCTTCTAGTCGTCGTCGTCTCCGTCCTCGTCTCGTTTCGCAACTGCTTCCCTGCCCGTTCAAGGAATCTGGCACGCGTATGTGAAAATATCTAATTAGATTACGTAAACGATGAGACGCGGAAGACTCGACGAAACAATGCGCAGGATGACATTCAATGTGAATTGCGTTAAATACCGATATTACCTATTATCGGATAGGCATTCGAATACCATTTAACTATGAACGTATCGATAGTTATTACCGGTAAGGTTGGAATTTACATTTATAGTAAATACTTACTTTGTCAACACTACCATATTAAATATTACTGTTAGGAAACTAGTACTAAAATAGAATGTGACAAATTTTAAAGATTCCAACAATTTTTCGGGACATTAAACAGGAAACTTTATTATATATCGTTAATTCCATAAATTGCTTAAGATCAAGGATAATGATATTTTACATCATGTTTACGACACGGTGGTATAGAGAAGTTGATTGGGAGAGAATAATAGTTGGAGAAGAGCTAAGCCTGCGAGAGTGTTTTGGAGAAGGAGGGGGTTGAGATGAGATTACCCATTGATCACAATCTGTTTCTGCCATACAGATTAAAAACAGATGGGGGAGAAGCAAGATGGTAATTGGAAAAAGAAACATGTCCTATTCAAAAAACATAGTTATAGAGGAAATGCATGGAAAGCTATTTCCATGGGAGGGATTTGGAACTCAATTTGAAGTAAACAAAAATAATGAGATAAGGGATGGAGAAGGTCTGATTTAGGATGTAAGGAAGTGTTCGAATATGAAGTCCACAGTGAATAAGAAAAAAATAGATTGAGATTCTTCTTCGGTTTGAAATTCTACGTATGTAGGTGTTAACCTTTTGGAATTAAGTATTAGATCCTGAGATCCTGGTAGTTTTGATGTTTCCCACTTACCTCATTGTCATCTAATTAGCCAAATAGGTTAGAGCTAATTTTGGCATGAACTGTAAAATCTGGCCATAGGAGCTTGAAGGAGTTGTGGGGTGTAAGAAAGATGGGGAAAAACTATAACGAGGTTGCGAAAGTTCCATTTATTGTTAGAGTACATTAAATCTTCACTGCTCACTGCCTCAATACTGCACAATTGACGCACAATTAGCCTTTCGCGGAAGATGTTCCTTTAAACAATATATTCCGGGTAAATATGGTATTACAATTTTAGCTTTAGTGGATTCGAGAACCTGGTACACTCCTTCCTTAGAAATCTATGCCGGCACGCAACCAAACAATGTATACAACTTAACGCAAGATTTGTGTCATCACATTTAAAGTTCATAAATATTATGGCACACAATTCAGGACATGGTGCTGGCATACGGGGAATCACGGCAAAATTCTGTGTTTGCAGTACGTCTCTATGCAGAAAAATTTTCACATAGATATTCTAGAAATGGCAATATCGACCGAGGCTTAGGCAACATGGAGGTGTAGTTAGACCTGTACACATTGCCACTCTCGAGGAACAGATTTTGATTGTAGTCAAAGAGCAGCCTGGAATAAGCACTAGGATAGTTGTAGATTCACAATTGGGCGAATATTGAGGCACACAAGCCCATGGGATCTTCCCCATCGGGGTACAATTTGGGAGTGATTTTTCGCTAATAATTTTCATACTCCTACAGAAAAAGTTTTTTTATCCTTACTCTACTTAAATAACACAAAAGTTAGTGTAATTATATAAATATTTATTAATAACGAGTTAAAAAGTACTCCCTCTGTCCCAAATTATGGTATACATTTCTCTTTACAATTTATCTGAAATTATGGTATACAAAACTTTGGAAACTGTTTTATTGTATTTGTAAAATTAGTAAATCAGTTTGTAACGATTTTGATATTTTGAGAATTTCTGACTTGAACCTAAGAAATGGTGATATTTAAGATAGCATTGGTTATGAATTATAATATCTTGAGTCATTATCATTAATTTTTATGCAAACGTTTTTCTCTATCACCTTTAATTTTCTGCTTATAACAGAATTTAACGCAGATGATTGTCAATGTTCATATTTTGCGAATTTCTGGCTTGAACCTAAGAAATGGTGATATCTATGGTGGCATTTACTATGGATTATGTTATCTTGCTTCATTATCATTGATTTTTATGGGAAACGTTTTTCTCTATCACCTCTAATTTTCTACTTATAACAGAATTTAACACAGATGATTGTCAATTTTGATATTTTGAGAATTCCTGGCTTGAACCTAAGAAATAGTGATATCTATGATAGCATTGGTTATGAATTATGTTATCTTGATTCATTATCATCAATTTTTATGGGAAACGTTTTTCTCTATCACTTTTAGTTTTTTTAACTTTGTTCAGAAAGAAACAATAAGTTATTCTATTTTGATGTATAAGACTATAGATAAATTATGATGGAAGTATAAAGTGAGCATTGGTAATTTAACAAATCATAACGTCGTAGGTAAGGTAACACATAAAATTGTCAAGAAGTAGACGACGTAACTTCTGGTTTCTTAACAGCAAAAGTGGTTTTATGGAAATCCAGGTTTGCAAGTATCATAAAATATATTATTTGCTATGGGGAGATGAATAGATGCGAGACACCAGAAGACAACGAGAACTCTCTATGCGCGGATGAAATATAACGGCCGTTATATTTATAATTTATTCAAATCAGATAATATAGAATCATAATGCATTTATTAAATATATCGGGAGTAAGCATCGCGGCAACAGCCTCGCGATTTATGTGTTTGTTTTCAAGGACCAATACTTTATTACCATTATTTATATTGCGCGATAAGAGTAGCGTTGTGCCGGAATCTCGGTTGCGGCTAAAGGTTACGCGCATTCAATAAGCCTTTTAATGGTCAGGAGGAGAATTATGAAATCAACGTTGGAAATTGTTCCGCGTACAACAATAGACGTCGGTCAATTACGATGTTTTATCTTGTACGATAATCGTGATTAAACCGGGCGTTTATGTTTGCTTAATACCCCATTACGGACAATAAAGACGCGTATGGAAATTTCAATGTGAAGTTAAAATATTGCGTTATAACAATAAATCGTTATTTATTTTATTAAACGTTTTTATTTAACGCAATAAATTTTAACATTAGAAATCCGTCCATCGTACATTCCTGACACAATGGGACAGCGTTGCATCGTTTTTCATTGCGCCAACCGCGAAAGCTAATAATAACTTTGGAGCGTTTAATTATACGATCCCGATGAATATTTATGTTAATTTATACATAACTGGAATTAATCTGTAATTCATAATACCGTGTTAATTTATTGCATATCGCGTGGTAAAGATCGCAAAGGCGCTTTGGGGTTAGGAAACCGTCTCGTAAATATCAATTGGATGCAAAACCATTTCGTATCGCAATGATAACGATCAATTTTGTAAAATTATTGAGTTGGCAACAACTATTCCTGTAAATCAGAATATCTACTTCTACTAAACATATTATTAGGTTATAAGAAATGATACGCTGGTATGTTAAATAATAAATAAATAATTATACTTAATTGCTGTCGGAGTGTAAAAGGTAAAGATTCCAAATAGAGAAATCTAAATACCAGAAAAGGAGAACTTCTTTACTAAGAACATTCTTTTTACTGTACATTTGCAAAGTAGGAGACCCGATACAAAGATGTTACTCAAAAAAAACAACAAATGAGCCCCTCTACAGTTGTCTCGCCAATCTTAGAAACCAGTAATGTCTTACTACCACTACCAATAATTGCTTAATTACCGCCTGTATTGGTCGCCGTGAAGGTTAATTATTGCGTACACCTTTAACGTGACACTGCTATTTCTGCGATGCCATCGTAATTAAGGTGATGTCGTCCTTCCGTATACATCAAATGGCTTCTGATTGGACGCAGTTTGCCAGGTCGTTTAACGACTATTCAAAATGGCAATAAACTGTCACGAATGAATAACCGATCGATCGCATTCGGAGCCTTCTTGACTATTTTTGGCTTAAGAATCTAGAGCACTAACCAGTGTTTGTCCTAGATAACATTCCGACCTTTCTTGACGTTTTCAATCTCGCGATACTATGTTAATTGTTTAATTATGGGCAATTTTAGAATT